CCCCCCCCAAAAAAAAAGGTTATCACACCCCGCTGACAGGAAATGAGAAAATAGAAACGTCGACCGCCTCTTCACCCTCTACACCCTATCCCACCCCACCACCTGGCAACTCCCCTCCAACATCTCCACAAACTCCAACCTCTTCCTCGCGGATAACACCCTCATCGACGCCTCCACCCCGCTCCTTCCCTTCCGCCGCACCCCAGACGCCTTCTGGAGCATAAACGAGTGCCGCGACACCGCCGTGCTAAGCTATGCGTACCCAGAGACGCAACGGTGGAAATTCGCGTCGGACGAGTCGTTTGCGGCGCATGTGGAGGGCGAGGTGGCGAGATTGTACGGCGGGCGGGTGCGTGAGCAGGCGGTGCAGAAAGTGGTGGTGGAGGAGGAGGAGGAGCAGAGTAGTGCGTTTGGGGGGTTGCTTCAGCGAAATGGGGGTAGGTATACGGATTGGGTTGTTGAGACGCGGGTTAGAGGGGGAGCGGTGAGGGGAACGTTTCGAGTGCAGTTTTCGCTGGGGGAGATGGATGCCGGAGCGTGGATGGTGTTGATGCCTGCTGTAAGGAGAGATGAAGTCTTGGGTGGGAAGGGGGAGGGGAAGGAGATGGTGGGGACGACGAGTTTGACGGGGTTATTGGTGGAGTGTGTGAATAATGGGACGTTGGGGGGACTGGACGAGGAGGTTGTGCTGCCGTTTCTCCAGGGGAGACTGAGGTGGTGGGTGTTGGATGTGAGTTCTCCCCTCTTTCTTCTTTCCTGTTGCGCTAATACGAGTAGGATGCCGGCAAGAGAATGACGAAACTGCAAGGTGGCGCGGTGAATGTCACGCTGGTTAGTACGGAAGCAAGGGTTCCGGTGGATGAGGGAAAGCCGATTGAGTATTCAGAGATTGTGCGTAGCTACCCGGGGGTTGTCAGGGAGAAGGTAGATGGGTGATGGGGGCTGTCTAATGCTGGCGTACAAGATTTAATGGGAGGGTAGATATCGTCGGACATCCGCTCTACAAATTCATTTGCTGTTTAATCATCATGTCTTAAAGGCACATGTAAATCGAATTGATGTTTCATGTCTACAACTGGGTAGTAACAATGATTTATTCCAGGTCATGTCAGACTGCAGTTAGTGCAGAATCATCTGAACACGAGTACTTTGCAAGTGGGCAAAGAAAGCACGTGATTGGTATCTATTTTGAGATTTGGTAGGCCAAGGCGAATACCTGGAAAGGTACATACATATGTACACGAGTGGCTGCACCCTGTCTCGGTTTGTCAATCTTGGCCAAGGGGTTGCCAGTGCGTACGTAGACAAGTACATGACATGGACCAGCAGGAAGTGTGGAAATGCAAATATTTTGAGCATGGAGACTGTGTTGAGTTTTGAGGTGTCAAGACAGGTAAGTGATCCAATAGGTGCGTGGCTATTTTTAGATGAGTCCCTTGGTGTTGGGAAGATGGTGTTGGTACATGTTCAAGTCGAGGCCGTCAATGGGCCCAGTTTTATGCTGTAGTCATCATGTCTTGGTCATTGCGCGCCTAGATTTTGAGTGGCAGGGTCAACCATGCGCGAGGCCAAGAGCATGTTGTGATGGTCGTTTTGGTAATCGTTAGTGGGTACAAGGTCTTGGTTGTTTGGCAGTTGGTAGTCGATTAGTCGGAGCATTATCGAAGTCGATCCTCTGTCCGAGAAGTCAGCTTCAGGTGCCGAGAACGGTGTTGTTGATCTTTTCCAACTCACGCATCTTGTTCAATTCGTCGAGAATGAGCTGTAGCTCATCCTCGTCCATCTTCAGGGAAGGGATGAGGGTAGTAGCTTCCTCGGCGGTATCGGGGGTAAGGGTTCCTAGCGGGGCTGTTAGCAGCTCCTTATCAATGGCTTTGTTCCGGGACATGTCTTTACCCAGTAGCGCCTTTTCGACGACGGAGATTTCGGGGTGGGCGTCAAAGAGGGCGGCGATGGAGTGCAGGCTGTCTTCTTCCTTGTAGCGGGCAAAGTTGTCGAGGTAGTCGAGGAACTGGGTGATTGTGCTGGTGCAGCGTCAGTCGTGGCGACTGCACGTATGGCATGAAGGTGCAACTCACATGCTGTCGTTGTAGATGCGGTCGCGCAGCGGGTTGTTCTCGGGGTCCTTCTTCTTGCGCGCCTCGTGAACGGCGGTGACGACGGCGCGGGCCTCTGAGACGGAGAGGGCATGGACGTCTTCGAAGTCGCCGAGCTTGATCTCAGAGCCCATCTCCTCCTCCTGCTGGACTGGCGGCTTGGGGCGCGAGACGAGCCTGGGTGCTTTGAAGACGGGCGGCTCGGGCCTCTGGGGGGCGTTGTGCTCGCCGTCGGCTTCCATGATGGCGGTGATGGGGGTGGTTGTGGTGGGAGAGAGTCGGGGGAGGGTGCTGGGGGGAGGCTTGTCGGTATGGGAAACAAGGGTGGCGGCGGTGTTAGCGGTGAAGGCAGGGCGCGGTAGCAAGTGTGGTTGTCAAAGAGCAGCGAGTCGCGTTGGTGTTTAGCGGGCGGTGCCAAGGCGTGAATTTGGCACTAGGACAGGCAGCATGCTCGGGCGTATTGTCACGGCCTTCCCCGCCCTGCGCGCGGCGCGTTTGCTGCTGGCGCTGGTTCGCCTGGCCTGCCTGCAGAGGCGCAGAACAGGCTTGCAGCGCCATGTGCCAGGAATAGCCTGCCCTGGCCCCCCGGTTCGACCCTCGACAATGACGCTTGCTATCGTGGGCGCCTTTTGCCTGTGGGGTGTGTGTATGTATGTGTGTGTGTGTGTGTG